CTTTCTTTGGGATTGGAATGAAAACTGACCTTTTCCAGTCCTGTGTCCACTGCTGAGTTTTCCAAATTTGCTGGCATATTGAGTGCAGCACTTTCACAGCATCATCTTTCAGGATTTGAAATAGCTCAACTGGAATTCCATCACCTCCACTAGCTTTGTTCGTAGTGATGCCTTCTAAGGCCCACCTGACTTCACATTCCAGGATGTCTGGCTCTAGGTGAGTGATCACACCATTGTGATTATCTGGGTCATACTTTCTATTAATACAAGGAAGAGTTCACTGAGCGAGACAGCTTTGCTCTCGTTAGCCCAGCAAGTGCCTCCAATTCAAGCCTGGCTTCCCTGGTCCTGGAAGTCTAATATCCCAGAGAACACCGGGAAGCCCTCCCTCTGAGGTCCTGCATACAAGAGGGCTTGCTGTGATGGAGCAGGCTGAGTCACTGCTACTGATAGTAACAAAATCACAGCCCTATTTCCCATTCTTAGGGACTCTCCGTCTTTACTCTCTTATTCATCTTCCAACTCACTATGGTAGGTGCTTCCATTTTGATAGCTTAGAAAATTCCCTTCACTAAAATTTATTATGAGCTTCCCAGATGGTGCTAGTGGTAAAGAACCCTCCTGCCAATGCAGGAGACATGAAACTCGGGTTTGGTCCCTGAGTCAAGAAGATCCTCTGAAGTAGGGCATGCCAACTTACTCCAGTATTCTTGCCTGGAAAATTCCACGGAGCCTGGAGGGTTACAGTCCACAGGGTCACAAAGAGCCCTACATGGCTCAGTGACTAAAGAGCATATATATGTCAATTTCATATTCCCAGTCTATCACACTCGACCATCCCTCCACTCTGCTTCTGAATGGGAAATGCTTAGAAAAAGCTTCCAGAAAGTTCCAAAAGTTAAAACTTGAAAATTCCAAATCACAGTGAACTATTTACATAGCATTTAAATTGCATTTATCTATTAGGTGTTGCCTGGAGAATTCCATGGACAGAGGAGCCTGGTGGACTTCAGTCCATAGGGTCACAGAGTTGGACAGGACTGAAGCAACTTCGTACACACGAACATACACGCATAAGTAGTCTACAAATGACTAAGAGTGTATGGCAGCATGCTTATAAGATATCTGCAAATATTAATCATTTTCAATAAGAGATTTTGCACTCTGGAATTTAGATATTCAGGAGGAGCTGAAAGCAATTTCCCATGGTACCAAGAAAGAAATGTGTAATCCACTTAATCAAACAGAGAAGGTTGATCAGAATTAAAAAATCATTAATTTATACTCACATCTTTAATACATTTCCCAAGGCCTGCAATGAAAAAGAAAAAAAAAGATGATGTTAATCATGAGAGTTCAGTCCTTTCACAACTTCTGTACTATTCCTAATTGTTCAATAAGGTATTGTTTTTCTCATTCTCTTCTAAAGAACAATCAGAAACCATCTTAATAACAGAGCTTAAACTTAAAAATGATGGGCTTCCTCAGGGCACATTAAGGAAGGAAGGAGGCCAGGAAGAGTGTGTGCAATGATGCAGCCACATCTAGGATTCCAATGTCACTCATTGCCCATGCTACTCCCAAGGAGAGATCTCACCATCTATGATAACAATTAGAGCAAAACAGGGAACCATATAAAACGAACTCTAGAGTACCTTGAAACTAATGACCAATTCTGACAGTCTTGCTTAGAAAATGGGCAAAACCTCAATGTCTGCACTAAGTTTGGGATAACATCAAGTGACAAATGTTTAGGATAACATCTACTGAGATTTATTCCAAGAAGTTAACTGACCCCTGGTCACAGAATATTGCTGGTTTCGGATCATCTGTCTGAATAGTACTCTGAATCAAACTGAAAATATCTGGCCTTATGTTAGCTAGAAAAAAGGCAAAAATCTTCCTAAGATTACCAGGCTATGATGAACTAAAGGATTGGACAAATACAATAATGGGAGTCAGGGAGCACCACCCCTTAGCTGAGAGTAATAGTATATGCAGGGAACATTTCAGTGTCACAGCAACTCGTCTAGAAGAGTGTTTCTCTCTCTGAGAACAGACCCTCCTTTCTCACCTGGAGCAGCTCCACGTCCGGCTTGTGGCACATCTCAATCAGCTCTCTGTACGTTTCTTTCAGACTTTCTCTCTTTTGAGTCATTCTGCACACACTCTCCCGGAGTTGGTGACAAATCTCATTTGCTTCTTGCTCCAGGGCTTCCAGGTGCAGTTGCTCCTCGCCCTGGAGCAATGGATGCATCCTCTGATACTCAACTTTGATTATCTCTTTTCTTATGGCCACAAACTTCTGAGGGGATAGTGGATTCAAAGCATTGATTACATTCACATTCAAAAGGTAATCTCTCTGATACTCAAGTTTGATTATCTCTTTTCTTATGGCCACAAACTTCTGAGGGGATAGTGGATTCAAAGCATTGATTACATTCACATTCAAAAGGTAATCTCTCTGATACTCAAGTTTGATTATCTCTTTTCTTAAGGCCACAAACTTCTGAGGGGATAGTGGATTCAAAGCATTGATTACGTTGACATTCAAAAGAAAATCTCAAATATTATTTCCTAAATATCATCAAAAAAGCTCTTGAAAAAGTTTTGCCTCACACATCAAAAGATCTTGAATATCTGTGGGTCCTTCCTGTCCATCCTTCCTCTTAGTGCTTAGTCTCTGTGTTTAAATCAAGCTAACTGAGGGGTCCCAGGCTCTCTTCCTAGGAGGATTCTGCAGGGTTTACCAGTTCAGTCCCTCAGTCATGTCTGACTCTTTGCCACTCCGTGGACTGCATCATGCCAGGCCTCCCTGTCCACCACCAGCTCCCAGAACTTGCTCAAACTCATGTCCATCGAGTCGGTGATGCCATCCAACCATTTCATCCTCTGTCGCCCCCTTCTCCTCCTGCCCTCAATCTTTCCCAGCATCAGGGTCTTTTTCAATGAGTCAGTTCTTCCCATCAGGTGCTCAAACCATTGGAGTTTCAGCTTCAGCATCAGTCCTTCCAATGAATATTCAGGACTGATCTCCTTTAGGATGGACTCATTGGATCTCCGTACAGTCCAAGGGCCTCTCAAAAGTCTTCTCCAAAACCTCAGGGTTCTTACTGTATCAATTATTTCCTTTCTAACCTGAATGTTGTTTTTCTCTTTTTTCTTTCCCTGATTTTTCTAAGTATTCTTTTATGAGGCAAATCCCACTTTGTAAAGTTTTTAAAATATGCTCTATTTTCCCTCTAGGTACTACTCTCCTGCTTCTCAGTCACACTGAGCACAATGTTGTCTCATACTTCATGTCTGAGAACATTTATTCAAACCGTCAAAATTGGCCTCAGCCTACTTTTCATGCTTTGGTTTTCCAACATACCAGTATTTTTTTTTCTTTTATTTATTTATTTATTTTTATTTGTTGGAGGTTAATTACTTTACAATATTGTAGTGGTTTTTGTCATACATTGACATGAATCAGCCATGGATTTACATGTATTCCCCATCCTGGTCCCCCCTCCCACCTCCCTCTCCACCGGATCCCTCTGGGTCTTCCCAGTGCGTCAGGCCCGAGCACTTGTCTCATGCATCCAACCTGGGCTGGTGATCTGTTTCACCCTAGATAATATACATGTTTCAATGCTGTTCTCTTGAAACATCCCACCCTCGCCTTCTCCCANTATCTCCATCCCATCACCATCATAGCATCCTCATTTTTCTCTCTGACTTAGGAGCCTCTAGATCCCAAACTGCTCCAGAGGTATCACCTACCCGGGACTCCTCAGCAGCCCTGTGTATGGGACTGTGGCTGTGAGCTGCGTGCTCGGGGCGTTCAGAGCAGGGCCCGCAGAGCAGGGTCTGGTCAGCCTCACAGAAGAGGCCTCTGGCTTCCTGGTGTGTCTCACAGATCTGCTCCTCAGAGCGGTGGTCGTGGTCAGCTCTGGCCTGTCTGGCAAGGGAAGCCAGCCTCCTGAGGGCAATATTCGTTTTGAAATCAGGCCTCTCTGATATTCCCCTGCACTCAGGGCAGCTCCTTGGAGTCTGGCCTTCTTCCCAGAGAAGGTTCAGACAGGGACGGCAGAAGCTGTGCCCACAGTCTATGGTGACGGGGTCCAGGAAGCAGTTCATGCAGATGGAGCAGGTGAGTTCACTCTGGAAGACCTGCAGTGCGTCTGAATCCATATTTCTAAAAGTGAAAGAGAGAAATAGAGAGTATAAGAGAAAGTCTTTCTTCTGCCCTGATCAGGGAAAATAAAGCCTTTGGACAAAGTCTTGTCTTGAACTCTTAATTAATTTCCGTATTTACTTGCCCCTCAATACAAATCTAGAAATGTTGACTACAGAGTTTGGGATCATGGTTTGATACAAATGATGAAATTAGATAGAGTCCCTAACATCTTTTTTGTATAAAATAAATCATGATCTCAGTGATACCTAAATCACTAAGCTAAAGATTAGGTCAGAGTATAAATGTTAGGATGATTCCAGAGTTACTTTTATTAGATTATTGGTGTAGAAGTACATATGTATTCTCAGTCTGTCTCTATCTTTCTCTCTGGCTCTTCATGACTCACTGACTAGGTCCTGAACCTGCACACACTTCATCTCTATGCTAATGATCTCTTTTGCTTTGAAGTGTCATATGTGTTTTTGAATGACAAGTAAAATTGTTTACACATAATTTAAACTTAATATAATCAATGTTGGCTTTAATTTTGAAGTTCTGAAACTATAAACATTTCAGTGTTTGCTTCCAACTTAAATAGTAAAACCCTATCCTTTAAGATAAAAAGAAATTTAAAAATATGTTATTTCAAGTTCAGGAAACCTATTTTTCCTGGAATCAGTTTAGATCACCAGATTTGGTCATATTTTGAACTGGTGCACATTCAAGCTACAACAATAATCACTAAAAATTAATCAGCTGGCTTTTAAAACAAAAGAAAAATGTTTGAATTTACACAAGGTTTCCTCTCTACGCTAGAAATTCCAGAATTGTAGTTAATGGAAGCAATTTCACATCCTCTTTGCTTCTAATAATTCTCTCTTTGACAAATGCCACTTCCTGGAGTCCCTATTGGTTGATTGGATCCATTCTGAAAACTTCAATTCCAGACTACAAACTAAAGGTTTTAAAACGGTAACACATATGACCTTTACAAGAAGGTATTCTGATTAATTTCACCAATTTAACTCGTGCTCTTCTTCACAAAGACTATGAATGTATACATCATGTTGAACATTTTAGGATTTCTATGGATTTTATAAATACTCATGTGTTTAGGAATGTCTTTTAAGACCTAAACACATCTAATGACCTAAAAGGCAATGGAAAATATAAATGATTAAATAACTTAATATTACAGATAAAATATCTGCAACAGATATTTTAAATATTGGTGTCATCTTCCAAACCTAAGGAAACAATTTAACAAGAGCCAATATAATCTTTAATTAAAGATTTAATTAAAACAAATATTTAAATAAGAAAGTGTGCATGAACATATAATTTCAGTTATCATAAGTATTTGGTTTAACTACATGATTCCTGTTATCTTCCCTGTCTATGAGAAGTTGAATGTTAAGAGGCTACTTCATTCCAAAGCTGAAAATTTAGTTCTGGTCAAAAGAGACAGAAAGTAAACTCTTGTTTAATTGAACAACTATAACATCAGGTTTAAGATGCCTTTGGAAAAATTATGAGCAGTGATGTGTGCAGTTACATTCATGGGTAAAAATTATCGAGAGGGTCATTACAGACTTCTGATCGATGACCACAAAATATTCAATAGTATAGAACCTAATGCCATGGACTAAAATGTCCATGAAATAAGGACAGAGTTTGATGACGAGGAAATACAGTAAGCTCAGTTTAGAATGGGCTAGAAACTGGCAAAGAATTCATTATTAACATAATCACTTCTATACTGATAACATTAATGATCATGATAATATGAAAATAATAGGAGAACCTAATACTATTTCTAGGCATTGGATTAGCTCTTGTTATATAGATTAACTATTTTAATCTTCTGAACAATGCTAACCAGTTTTCTAATTTTACCCCCAATCCATAAGGAAGTGACTTGACATAGAGTGAGTAAAATAAGTAATTTGTCTACAAATCTCACATGGAATAAATGCTTGATTCAGTGCTCACATATAGATATTACTGTTGAAAAAAAAGAAACTTTTGTGTCCACAATTACCATTACAGTTTACTTAAGTGAACATAGGAGAATCGTTGTACCTTCATCAAACTCACCTTTGGGTTCCTTTAATGAAATTTGCTAGTCTTATTCAGTAAGTAACTCTGTTAAATTCAGGATGAAGTTTAGGTGCTCACCTCCTTGTGGCATAAACTCAAAAGTATCCACAGACCAGCCAACTTCAAACACAACAGCTCTGAAGTCTGGAGAAAACGAGCTTGGATCTTTGCTGGATGCTTTATATATGCTCTCAGGACCACACCCATTTCTTAACAAGCAACGGTATTAGCCCTATAAAAAGGTGTAGGTGCACATGATTAGATTTGGAAAAGTTGATTGATTAGATTTTGGATGCCATTGATTGAAGTCAAACCTTTGAAACCTACTTAATCTAATCCCCATGATCCAAGCTCTGGTAAAATGTAATGGCATTATTAGTTTACACTTGTAATACATGAAGTTGCTGTTTGGAAAATAAATGAACTTCCCAAATATGAATTTTATCTCTCCATTTAATGAACTTTACTATAGCCCTAATTGCATTGACTGATCATCACCCACTAGATTTATTCATCTGTCTGATTTTGCCTGCATTCCATCGGTGACAATTCTTCAGAAAGTGGAATCCTTCACATTCCGTTTTTCAACCCCCAAGCTCCTCAATAACACCACTGCTCTGGCCCTTATAACCTTTTACTCTTTGGTGATGATGACTATTCTCAACCTCATCTGAACTAAAATTCTCTCAAATTTTATTCTTTCCATTCAGTCCTCCATGAATTCTTTCCTCTAAGATTTGGGGGTTTTGTTTTGTATGTGTGTGTTTGGTTACACACTATTGCCTTTTTTCTGTCCATAACTGCACACACAGTAGCTGTTAATGGCTGCTTTCTAAAACTGGCGCTTTTCTTCCCTCCCTGCATATGATCTCACTCCCACTCATTCAACAACAGAAATATTGATACTATGTTGCAAAATTAGTGATTACATCATAGTTGTATACTATATGATTGACTAAAAAAGTCCTAGACAATTTGAGGAAGAAATATGATATTGACTGTTAAGTATAGGCAGCTATCTCTTAAAGTTTTCTTTATTTTTTACTGTGTTTTCATTCTAGCCTTCAAAAACATTTTCTTACCTTAACCCAAGATGGGTCATAGTGCTTCACTCAAGGAAGGAGAGCAGACATGACAATTTATTTACTTTAAAATTTTTATTGAAATATCATTGATTTACAATGTTGTTTTAGTTTGAAGTGTACAGAGAAGTGAATCAGTTACACATATACATATAGGCACTGTTTTTTTAAAGAAATTTTTCCCATACATATCAATACAAAGTAATGAGTAGAGTTCCCTGTGTGATACAGTGGGCCCTTATTTATTATCTATTCTATATATCATAATGGATATAAGTCAATCTCTCAATTTTTCTGCCCCCTCTTATAAGTTGCTAATCATAAATTTGTTTTCTACATGTGTATCTCTTTTTAAAATAACTTCATTTGTACCATTTTCTCAAGATTCCACATATAAGTAATGTCATATGATATTTTTCCTTTTTTTTCTGACTTCTTTCCTTCCTTTTTCTGACAATATCCAGGTCCATCCATGTTGCCGCAAATGGCATTTTGCTCTTTGTTATGGCTGAGTAATAGTACAGTGTACATATGTATGATGATATCACCTTTAACCATTCATGAAAAGGCAAAAAGATATAACACTGAAAAATGAACCCTTCAGGTCAGTAGGTGTCCAATATGCTACTGGAGAGGAGCGGAGAAGGAACTCCAGAACGAATGAAGAGGCTGAGTCAAAATGGAAACGAAGCCCAGTTGTGGATGCGTCTGGTGGTGAATGTAAAGTCCAATGCTATAAAGAACAATACTGCATAGAAACCTGGAATGTTAGGTCCATGAGTCAAGGTACATTGGAAGTGGTCAAACAGAAGATGGCAAGAGTGAACATCAACATTTTAGGAATCAGTGAACTAAAAGGGACTGGAATGGGCAAATTTAATTCAGACAACCATTATATCTACTACAGTATGTAAGAATCTCTTAGAAGAAATGGAGTAGCCATCATAGTCAATAGAAGAGTCCGAAATGCAGTACTTGGATGCAATCTCAAAAACAACAGAATGATCTCTGTTCATTTCCAAGGCAAACCATTCAATATCACGGTAATCCAAGTCTATGCCCCAACCACTAATGCTGAAGAAGCTGAGGTTGAATGGTTCTATGATGACCTACAAGACTTTCTAGAACTAACACACAAAAAAAGATGTCCTTTTCATCACAGGGGACTGGAATGCAAAAGAAGGAATTCAAGAGATACCTGGAGTAACTGGTAAGTTTGGCCTTGGAGTACAAAATGAAGCAGGGGAAAGGCTAACAGAATTCTGCCAAGAGAACGCACTGGTCTTCCACCATCTTCCAACAATACAAGAGATGATTCTACACGTGGACAGAACCAGATGGTCAATGCAAAATTAAATTGATTATATTATTTGCAGCTAAAGATGGAGAAGCTCTATACAGTCAGCAAAAACAAGACCGGGAGCTGACTGGCTCAGATCATGAACTCCTTATTGCAAAATTCAGACTTAAATTGAAGAAAGTAGGGAAAACCACTAGGCCATTCAGGTATGACATAAATCAAATCCTTCATGATTATACAGTGGAAGTGACAAACAGATTCAAGGGATTAGATCTGATATGGATCTAATGTGAGAGGTGGACCATAAAGAAGGCTGAGTGCTGAAGAATTGATGCTTTTGAACTATGGTACTGGAGCAGACTCTTCAGAGTCTCCTGGCAGCAAGATCTAACCAGTCACTCCTAAAGGAAATCAACCCTGAATATTCATTGGAGGGACTGATGCTGAAGTTGAAGGTTCAGTATTTTGGTCACCTAATGCAAAGAGCTGACTCATTAGAAAATACCCTGATGCTGGGGGCAGGAGAAGGGGGCAACAGAAGATGAGATGTTTGGATGGCATTACCAAGGCAATGGACATGAGTCTGAGCAAACTCCGACAGATAGTGAAGAACAGGGAAGCTTGTTGTGCTGCAGTCCATGGGGTCACAAAGAGTCAGACACAACTGAGTAACTGAACAAAAATCCCAAATATTATTCAATTAAAATACTGCCTAACTTTTTTAATTTGTGCAGTTGCATAACAAATACATAGTAGAGACCTCCCTGGTGGTGCAGTGGATAAGAATCAAACTTCCAATGCAGGGGACACAGGTTGGTGGGTCCTGGAAGATTCCACATGTCTCAGAGTGACTAAAGCCCATATCCCACAACTACTGAGCCCAAGCTCTAGAACCCAGGAGCCACTACTAAGCCTACATGCTGCAGCTACTGACTATATGCCTAGAGCTTGTGTTCTGAAGCAGGAGAAGTCACAGCAACGAGTAGTCTGTGCACCACAGGGCAGAGTAGCCCCCACTTGCCACAAATAGAGAAAAGCCCGTGCAGCAGTGACGACTCAGCGCAACCAAAAATAGGTAAGTAAAATTAGGAAAAAAAAGTTTTTTTAAAGAAATGCAGAGGAGGAGGAAAATAGATGTTGAGTGCCAAAAAGAATGAACTGTCAGAGTGGGACTTGAATGGGTTCAGAATCTTTGCACATCTTCTCCATACTTTGTTCTTCATCCTTGGTAGCCAGTTTTCTAAAACTTTTATACAACTTGGTTTCCAGCAGGCTCTGGAAGGACAATAGAGGGTCACAGAGAGAGAAGTTGCTGTATTTCTTCTCTTCCTCTCTATCTCAGGCACCATCTCCCCTCATGGTTCCAGCCTGGAACTGACTCTGACTCTAAGGATAATTAATATCACTACCACCCTATCTCCACAGCCTAGTTTGGTGATGGCTTTATTTGAAATGAATTTCAACAATATATTTAAACCAATATATTCAAAAAATTATCATTAAAACATAATATTGAAAATACTAATGAACTGGTTTACATTCTTTTTTTATACTAAGTTTTTAATGTGCAGCATGCATTTTATACTAACAACTCCATTCAATCAAGACTAGTCACATTCCAAGTGCCTGAGACCTAAATGTGGCTACCCTGTGAGACACTATTGTTGCTGTTCAGTCACTCTTTGGGACCTTATGGGCTGCAGCACGTCAGGCTTCCCTGTCCTCCACCATCTTCTGGAGTTTCCTCACACTCATATCGAGTCAGTGATATTATCCAACCATCTCATCCTCGGCTCTCCCTTTCTCCGTCTGCCTTCAATCTTTCCCAGCATCAGGGTCTTTTCCAATTCATCAGCTCTTCACATCAGGTGGTCAAAGTACTAGAGCTTCAGCATCAGTCCTTTCAATGAATATCGAGGGTTGATTTCCTTTAGGCTTGACTGGTGTTATCTCCTTGTAATCTAAGGGACTCGTAAGAGTCTTCTCCAGCAACTCAATTGGAAAGCATCAATTCTTTGGCACTCAGCTTTCTTTAGTCCAGCCTTCTTTATGATCCTTCGTTATGGTCACATCTGTACATGACTACTGGAAAAACCATAGTTTTGACTATAGGGACCTTTGTCACCAAAGTGATAGAATTAGACAAACCATTTGTTACACAAGAGATACCTTAATTTCAAACCCTCAGTTGACAGAACAATTTAAAGTTGTCTCAGGAAGACAGAATGGACTAGACCCCACTATCTCCAACTCTGTACCAATAAATGAGCATTATAAACATTTTCATGTGATAGTTTTAGACAAAATGTAAAGTCAGCTAGGCTGTTTGCTTTATAAGAGAGAACTCACTGGTGACTGTACTTGTCATCCTAATGTCCACCAGTGAGGATCTTTATCTTCTCGATAATGTGAATTGTATTCTTCAGCCCTTTTGTAGAAGTTCCAGACTACACTCTTCTTATGGTATTATACTATAATTTTAAAGAAGATTAGGTTATCATAGGTATAAACACAAGTTTAAATCTTTCTGATGTATACAATGACTTAATTTATTTAAGGAAACAGCTACCTCTTCCTGCAGTCCTCAACCCAAGAACAGTGATTGTTTTGTGTATCTGTAGTTCTTACATTCTTTAAGCCTCTATTTACCTTACACTAGACAATACTTCGTAGCTCCAGTGCTATTATAATTAATCATTCTTTATGTTAACGTTCCTTGTTTACATTTTTGTGTGGTTTCTCTGCCTTGACTGAATGCATTTAATGGATAAGTGATATATCCATGCAAGGGAGTGCTCTCTTGTTAGTGAAGTCTGATGACCTACAGCCACAATAATACATGGATAGATGAAAGGTCAAGGGTGATTTTAAAAACCAAGTTATAGTGAAATACATGGGGTACAATTTTATTTTCAAAAATTCTAAAAATACACAAAGTCAAACACATGTCTGGGATAAAGCAATGTATGGTAAAAGCATAAAATTCAAGAAAGTGAGTATCTCTGAAAGAAGGGGAAGGCATACGGTCAGAAGTACATGTGGGATCCAAAGATGTTGGTAATGTTCCTTTCCTTAACCTAATTAATGAAGTAGGTTTACAAATGCTTACTTTGTGCTGTATGTATATGTTACACATATCCTTTTAAAAAAACAATTATCCCTTATTTTATAGAGGGACTATATTTACCTTAGGATTTCCCTGGTGGCTCAGACAGTAAAGAATCCACCTACAATGCAGGAGACCTGGGTTCAATCCCTGGGTTGGGAAGATCCCCTGGAGGAGGGCATGACAACCCACTCCAATATTCTTCCCTGGAGAATCCCCATGGACAGAGGAGCCTGGCGGGCTCCTGTTGCAAAGAGTTGGACATGGCTGAGCAACTAAGCACACATATTCACTTGCCGAGCATTTCAGCAGTAAAGAATCCACCTGCCAATGCAAGAGACACAAAAGACCTGGGTTTGAGCCCTGGGTTGGGAAGATCTGCTGGAGAAGAAAATGGCAACCCACTGCAGTATTCCTGCCTGGGAAATCCACGGACAGAGGAACTTGGTGGGCTAAAATCCATGGGGTTGCTAAGAGTCAGACATAACTTAGTGACTAAATAACAACAATAAAACAAAACATTTACCTTCAGGGTGACTAGACCAGAGTTGCCCAACTACTGAGCTAATACAGCAATCCTCTCAGCCCTGGGAGGCCAGGCAGACCGAGGTCCCAGGCTTGAAGAAGCCCTGTGGATTTTCCCCTGTGTTCTATAACAAACTGATGCTTTCTACATGTGCAGTGACAGGAATAGATCTGGAAGTGTTGAAAGAGATGTGATTTCTGATAACGTCACCTAAGTGTATTAAAATTTTAGGCACTTCTTACTTTCATCATTTAGTTCAACTTCAGAATAACTTTCTATAATTTTAGAATAAAAATATCCATCTTTCTTATTGATCTATAAGGAGAAGAAAAGAAATGCCAAGGTAGATATATGCTCTATCTATACCTATGTATACATATGTACACAACTTTATTTTTCAGTTTATCAATACATCCAACATGATTCTTCCCGATACATCATACCAATTCAGTATGTGTTTTACGAAGAAATTCCTTAGGCGACTTCTCTCAGAGTCCCTGCTGCAGCCTGCACTGTGAAGGCTGCAATAGAAATCTGTCTTTTCACTTCTTCCCAGGCCTTGGATGGGTCCACTCTGTTTTCAATATCAAAGAGAGCATCGTAGATCCCTGGGAATGACTCCCCCACGTACTTGTTGTGGCTGCTTGGAGCATAGATGACATGCCTGTTGACAGAAATAGTTTGCTATCAGTTGCTCAAATTACATATACAAGGTAAAAAACAAGGGTGCCCTACAATTCATGGATTGTATAATTCTAATTGCCACTTGTCAACTAGACTTCCAAGTTCAATCTCCAAAGACTATGAAGTATGTGGTAATTAACTATATCTTGACTTTAGACAATGAGTTAAAGTGGCTCAGAGCAACAAAAATGATGACAATGATAGCAACAGCAGCTTGTCACCTACTATGTATCACACTTGGCATTAAATTATTAACCCATAATTTTTCTAAAGGGCTTCTCTGGTGGCTCAGTGGGTAAAGAATCCACCTGCAATGCAGGAGACTGCCTGCAACATAGCAGCCCCAGGTTTGATCCCTCGGTCAGGAAGATCCCCTGGAGAAGGAAATGGGAACCCACTCCAGTATTCTTGTCTGGGAAATGCCACTGACAGAGGAGCCTGGCAGGCTACAGTTCATGGGGTCGCAAGAGTCAGACATGACTTAGCGAGTAAACCACCGTTAAGTTTTCCAATTCTTGAAAATAAATTCTACAAAATTGATATTAGCATCTGAAAGAGGAGGAAACTGAGGTCTGGAAGATGAAGTGATAAGTTTCAGTGTATACTGTAAAGAAGTGATGACTTCAAAATACCATTCTATCTTCTGAAATGCAGCACAATAGGGTCTCATTTGTGACCCAGCCAATCAATTACTGTATGGGCTTCCCTGGTGGCTCAGAGGTAAAGAATCCGCCTGCCATTTCAGGAGACGTGGGTTCAGTCCCTGGGTTGGGAAGATCCCCTGGAGGAGGGCATGGCAACCCACTCCATATTCTTGCCTGGAAAATCTGTGGACAGAGTAGACTATGGGGCTGCAAACAGTTGGACATGACTTAATGACTAACAACAGTAACCACAACTTGTCACTGTTTTTCTCCTACTTAAAAAAGAAGTCATGCCGCAATACCCAGAATCAAGTGAGAATCATTAAAAACAGTTTTGTAACATTCAACATGATCTTGGAAAAAGGTGCTGTTTTTCTGAAGGAGCTAGTGAAAGTGAAAGCGAAGGTCATTTGGTTGTGTCCAACTCTTTGCAACCCCATGGACTATGCAGTCCATGTAATTCTCCAGGCCAGAATACTGGAGTGGGTAGCCTTTCCCTTCTCCAGGGGATCTTCTTCCAGCTGAGCCACAAGAGAAGCCCAAGAATACTGGAGTGAGTAGCCTAGCTACTTCTCCAGTGGACTTTCCTGACCCAGAGTTTGAACCGGGGACTCCTGCATTGCAGGCGGATTCTTTCCCAACTGAGCTATGAAGGAAGTGCATATAATAACTCTGGAAGAGAAGGACAAGTTCCACAGTAAAAAGACAAAGAAGGAAAGAGGCACAATGCTGCCGCCAGGGGGAGACCATTCACTCTGTTTGGATGACACCCTTGGTCTCAATTCCAATTCTTCACAAATAATCCCTGCACAGAAAGATGGGATCATTTCTGGCTGGTCAGTGATCTAATTCTTTCTGAATTCTTAGTAAGATCAACCTGGGGACAGTTGATGTTTATCAGAAATAATTAAGGATTATCAAAAATTAGGGGAAAAAACTGAATATCGACATTAAGACAGTAAATGCTGCTGCAGCTGCTAAGTCGCTTCAGTCGTGTCCATCTCTGTGACCCCATAGACGGCAGCCCACCAGGCTCCCCTGTCCCTGAGATTCTCCAGGCAAGAATATTGGAGTGGGTTGCCATTTCCTTCTCCAGTGCATGAAAGTGAAAAGTGAAAGTGAAGTCGTTCAGTCATGCCCGACTCTTAGTGACCCCATGGACTGCAGCCCACCAGGCTCCTCCATCCATGGAATTTTCCAGGCAAGAGCACTGGAGTGGGCTGCCATTCCCTTCTCCGGAGACAGTAAATAAGTATATATTTATTATACCTTATGTATATGCATAAATACACATTTAAAATAAAATAAAAACGGGCTAAAGTTTATGTATACCAAAGGGGAGATTTTTATTTTCTGACTTCCTCGGTCTTCTAAATTTCCTACAAAGAGCATATACTCTTTTATATACAGAAACAAACAAAAAAAATAGATAATCAAGACCTGTAGTAATCATTTTATATAAATAAATAATATTTAGCATTTACTACATGAGTTTTGGAATTTTTTGTTTGCAAGAAATCAAATACATTTTTGCCACATTTATTAAAATGAAGAGCCATATTTTTATCCTTACCTATAGAAAGGCCTGTCTGGTAATCCTAAAGGATCAGTAAATGCTCGTTCCAAAAACATCAGTTGATCATTCATAATTCTTAATAATATTGGGCTAGAAAAGGAAAGGCATAAGTTGCAGCTTCATGAAAATACGTGCACTACCCAGCAAACTAAACATTCAAAACAAAACTAAACACAGCTAATTTTAAACTCCTATAACATGCGAATTAAAAAACAGTAGCATGCATAGTTATATTTCTTTAAATCCCATAAAGTAATATTCTGCTAAGGCTTATAATTAGGTCCGAAAGAAAGAAACAAACATCATATATTAATGCATGTATGAGGAAACTAGAGAAACGGTACAGATGAACGTACCTGCAGGGCAGTGATAGAGAGTGTAGGGGATGAAGTGTGGACCCAGGGGCATGGGCAGGAAGACATGGATGAACTGGGAGATGAGGACTGACACATATACCTTACCATGGATAAAATAGACAGCTACTGGGGACAGCTACAGAGCACAGAAAGTTCAGTTCAGTGCTCTCTGCTGACCCAGATGGAGGGGACGGGAGCAGGGTTGAGAGGGAAGTCCAAGAGGGAGGGGCTGTATGTATACATATAGCTGATTCGTTTCTTTGTTCAGCAGAAACTAACACAACACAAAATTGTAAAGCAACTATATCCCCAATTTAAAAAACAAACCAAAAAACTGAAAATGTTCAATGTGCCAATGGAAAAAACTATAGTAATTTTTATTTACACTGAAATAACTAACTATAACCTAGGTATTCAAATAATAGGCAAGACTTTTTCATTTTAAGTATCCTAATAATCTGTTCACAGAAGTCATTTAAATATTGAAAAGGATTAGCATATTAATGTTTAGTAGAGTGCCGAGAAAATTATATTTATCAAATGATGGCTAATAATACTTCATTGTTTTTAAAGGTAGACCTACATGAACACAGGGGTGTTGCTTATTTCCTCCTTTCAACAATATTTGAATGCCTGCTAAGTACCAGACTCTTCCTGCTTATAGAGTTCACATTCCAAAGTATGCAGGAGAATGTTACTGTAATAAAAATGCCTCAATACAACTGAAAATTTACCAGCAATCCTGGAGTAGGGCAGCAATATGTTGTTACATTCAACATATTGTCATAATTTAACTAACTAATGAAAAGTAATCAATACCATAAGGAATCAAATTACTTTATATAAAAACTGAATAAACTCTAGCTTTGTTATGTCTTAGTTTTAATAAGAAAACTATGTGCCCATTACTATTCTGAATGTTTATAAAATATATTTCTTTTAATCATCTGAGCAATCCTTCAAGTTATGCATGAATAGCAGCCCATTCCATAGATGAGATATTCAGATTCAATAGAGAAATAACTTGCCCAAGTTCACATCTAGAAAGTTTTAGAGTGAAATAGGAGCTCAGTGGGCTTCCCAGGTGGTGCTAGTGTTAAAGAACCCACATACCAATGCTGGAGATGTAAGAGACATGGGTTCTATCCCTGAGTCAGGAAGAGCCCCTGGAGGAGGGCATGGCAACCCACTCCAGGATTCTTGCCTGGAGAATCCCCAAGGACAGAGGAGCCTGGCGGGCTACAGTCCATGGGGTCACACAGGGCTGGACCTGACTTAAGCGACCCAGCAGCAGCAGCAGTGGGAGGTCAGTACTATTCCTTCAACTGCAGTATGTCAACAAAAGACAAATCGAAAAAGTAAAGGCCACAGAATTTGGATATGAGCTATTTTCAACATTCATTTAGCGTCAAGAACTCAGGTTATGTGATAGTATAAAGTTAAACCATGGGCACAGACTTTACCTGTGAACAGTCCACATTAATAAAGAGGAAAACTGAATGAACCATAATTTCAGTAAGGTATCACCAGTTTCTGAACCAAATTCATAAAGCATTGCTAAGAACACAGAAACTTATGTAGATATACACACACACACCCCATTCATATGTTCCTTGTTCAGCGCAGTAAGTCGCTTGAGTCGTGTCTTACTCTGTGAAACCCTATGGACTACATCCTGCCAGGCTTTTCTGTCCATGGGATTTTCCAGGCAAGACTACTGGAGTGGGTTTCTACTTCTTACTCTCGGGGATCTTCTTGACCCAGGGTTCGAACCTGAGTCTCTTGCGTCTCCTGTCTCCTGCGTTGGCAGGCAGACTCTTTACCACTCGCGCCACCTTGCAGGGTTCAAACTAAAACATCCCTGGGAGGTAAATGCTCAAAGCACCAGACTTATGTGAACAGGATCTATTTCCACCAGAAGTATGCTGGCCTCCCTACAGACTGGAGGAGGCTAGGTCTTGAGGTTGAAAACTATGTGACCATAAAGGTACCAAGAAGTCAACACTCTGTTTTCTTCAATGGGTTAAGACATTGATTGAAGAAAAGCAGGATTCAAGAAGTGTCTCTTCCACAGATTTCAAAGTTTGATTGAGAAATTCTACATCCACCTTAATTTATGTTAGCCAGCAAGTACTCTTATTATGTACAAACCACAGCTCCAGGTGTTTCAGGGTATGCATACATAATATAGAGATACAAATGGTACCTTAACTATCAGTTAGAGATGATAAGACAAATCCAGAAATACTCAAGGAAGTGAAAGCCAGTGTGCTAGATTACCATACTATGCCAACAGGCAGTTCCCCCACAAGAAAGAAACATCATTTATTTAATGACAAAAAATCAGCTTTATAGACTGGAGTGGGTTGCCACTTCCTACTCCAGGGGATCTTCCCGACTACACAGTGTTTGACATTACTCCAAAATTTATCAGTGGCTATTTTTACTTAGACAAAAATTCAAAAAGAATTATAAAGTATAAGGGAAAAAATCTTCACATTCACCCAAGGATAACATGATTATTATACTAATTGCTTTCTTATAATATTTTCTCTGCATTCAATAAAATAGTGTATATGAACAATTTTATGACCTTTTTGTTTGCTTAACATATTATTATATCTTAATAAACTTCTTTTATAATTATCAATTTTAATGTTTACAAAATGTTTAAATTGGTGGACATTCGATTGTTTAGTAACTTCTGTCCTCATAGGTATTAAGGCTGCTTTGAGTTATTTGATATTATAATTTGAATTTTTCTATGAGAAGCCACTTCATTCCCTCAAACTTGAGACCCTTTCCTGAAGGAAAAAATTTCAAGAAACAGAAATACTATGGCAGAGTGTAAGAACACTGTCATTGCTCTAGAAATTCTAACAATATATATTTATGTTCTTTAATAGCTTAAAGCAATAGCAATTTCAATGCTATCAGAAAAAATAAAGCACAAGAGCATCAGCTTCAGTGTACTGCCTGCAGCAATTTGCACAAACAAATTTTAAATTGCTATTCACTTGATATGAAAATAATACATTTTCATTTGTGGTTTTGGAATTACTAGTAAATTTGAATTTTTTTTGTTTCTGTACAGATGATATGTTATTTTTGAATTCTCTTGTCTAGTGTCAATATTCCCCACTTTGTCTTTTGGATCCTCATCAGTTTTCAAAAACATATTTTTATAATATCTGTATTACCCACATTCATATTTTCTGTGTCTTTATTACCCACCATCCAAATTTTCCAGTCTTTTATCTTTGATTTGGATTATTAGTTTTCATATTATAAACCATTTTAATATTCTCAAATCTGACTGCATTATCATTTCTAAACTTTGAATCTCATTTCTAAGATATTTTAATTTTTATTAAATAATTCTTCTATACCTGTTGTTTATCTTTGCATAGAATGTGAAGTGAGATTTTGAATTCACTATTTTTTTACCAATTCCTGAAAAAGCTTATACAATATTATTATTATTGAATACTTTTCTCATTTGATTTTAATGTATCCTTCATTACAAAGACTTCCTTATATATCACTGGTCTAACTTTTGATCTGTCTGCACTCTCTCTTTCCATGTATTCTTGCATCAGTCCCCAAGGATTTGATATTTGTATCATCATTATATATTTAATTGATATTTACTCTCAACATTCTACCTTTTGGAAAAAAAAGAATGGCTTTATCTTATTTGCTATTCTGGATACAAAGAATTTTTCCAGGTGGCAGTGGAGATTATGAAGTGTTTGTGGGAGTAGTGACATTAAGAAGAGGGAAGAAGAAGGTGTGTTCTGGGGAAAGAAGAGTTTGGTTGAAATATGATGTACAGATGTTGAAACAACAAGAAAAAAACAAGAAAATGATGGGGACATATGGTGAAGGACCCTTCAACATTAAGGTGGAAATGTTGTTACAACTACTCAGAATTCATAGTAACGGAGGCACCAGCATTTCTCAACAGCACATGTCATCTAAATGTCAAAAATACATCTTTAACAGATACGGCAGCCCTATATAGGATGTGTTAGAATAGAAAGAAAGCAGAAAAACACTTTCCAAAGATAGTTCAACAACAAGACGTCAACTAGTATTTCTTTTTTATTATATACAGGGCACGCATAGCATATCTATCTGTCTCTCTGTATATATGCAGAACATACTTGTTTTTATCCAAGTCTTGGAGTCTCTCACTGAAATTAGAAGCAATCTCTGTAAAATTCTTCACTGCAGAAAAGAGTGAATCTAAAAGAGAAATTAGAACCTAATGAAACGGCATTGCTCTATAGTTTAAACAAGGGGAACCATACAGGAAGCTGTTCCCTTTTGTCTGTAACACGGTATTTATATTTTGTATATTGCAAGATAGGCATCAGTGAGACAGAGGGAACATTTATATGCATAAAATATTTGATCATGTGCAATAGCAATAAATAATAAATGAACCTGAGGTAAGTCATTACATTTTAGAGATTAAAGATAAGAGTTTTGAAAGAGGAAAGCTAGCATACCAAATGACACATGGTATGTTTTCATTTCTTGTGGATGCTTCATTGAAATATTGTAGATTTTATCGGCGTACTTTCTTAAAACAACAGCATAGTCTCGACAGTCGAAGGGCAGCACTATGGAATTGGCTATTTCGAAGATGATTCCACCTCGAACCTGGGCCACAGCGAGGTGATACTTAAACGCTGGATCATAAAATTTTTCCACTAATTCATACGTTTCGTAGATACTATGATACAGAGGATAGCTGCTGAATTTGCTTGTTTCCTTAAAAAAAAAATGCAAAGAAATCCAAAATGTATCCTTTGTACGATAACTTATATAAAATGCATGGTATCACAGTTACTGTTAGCATTAGTAAAACTGCTTTTGTCAGTAATGAATAAAGGAAGTATCTAAGTACTTCAATAAGCCATTTACTAAATGTTTATTATTATATTATTAAAACCTGCCCCAGGTTTTCACTAGTAAAAAAGTATGTGTATATAACATAAACAATACTGTAAAAATGATCTTGGAAGAAACCTAACATTCTTGCCTTTAACAGGAGATGTAAAAATCTTCTTCAAATAAAGACAAGATAATGCTGCATTTGTGTGAAAATAATTCAAGAAGACAAAGAATTGTTAGAAGCAAGAAAATAAGCATGATTTACTATATATAGAGCAATGGTGCAAATTGGTTACTGACTGAAATTCCATGAATGAGTAATTTTCTGACAAGCAGTGTGCTGATGAGTGAGAGTCTAAACAGTGAGGGTTCAGTAGTAGATCTGAAATCTCACTAAAGAGACAAGTAATGCTCAGACCATTATAAGAATACAAGAACATACACAAAAGGCAAGAGGGGACAACTTTTCAAATTCTGAGTTGCTGATTTATGCCTTTCGCCCATTTTTTAAAGATGCTTGCTTTTTTTTTTTTTTCTTTTTTTACTGATATCATAGAACACTTTGCATAGAGGTATGTTGAGAGTGGGACTCAGGCATTAGCCTGCCAGAGTCTGAATCCAGGCTTCAGAACTTACTACCCCAAATAACTCCAGGAGTTTATTAACCCCAGAGTTTACCAACCTTTCCTGGCTGCAGTTTCCTCAAGAAAATACAGATGATATTAACATCTACCTTCATCACCAACCCCAGTGGTGAGAGATTTTCCCTCTGGGCAGAATAACCAACCCAAGACAAAAGACTACAGATCCTCAGTGTTAGCTCTCTCCCAAAGAAGCAACCAGAACAGGCACTCTCAGTCCCTCTGTTGTGAAGCTTCCCCTTCAACAGGCATCACCCCCGCAAATGAGCTTTCTCTAGCCTCACTCCCAAATAAGACATACTGTCAAAGACGGCCAGGCATTTGAAGACAGCTTTTAACTTGAAAGCTATAGATGCAGCCTGCAAACTAGAATAAAATCATGTAAGAGTAAGGAGGTACTACAGGGAATGGAGGGAAACTTAATAAAATGGAATAAATGAATGACAGAGTTGAAGAAAACATTGCTGAATGTAAAAAAAGACACAGGAATGCAAGAGAACAGATAAAGGCATTGGAAAAGAATCCCCCAGAGGCTAAACAAATTCATAATAGCTTGAGAAAGAGAAAAGAGGGAATAATCAAAGAAAAAAACATTTCCTCCAACTACAACCATAGGTTTCCAGAACAAAGGGTATAACTTGTACCCAGTTCAGCATATTAAAATATGACATAATATGCATTTGTTCACCAAGGACAACACAGTCATAAAGAGTAGATACTAAAATTTTCCTTTAAAAATAAAAAGCAAGAAACAACAGATCAGGGAACAAATAACATCTCTCAACAGGCTGGGAGACAAAGCAATAAGATCAAAACTCTAAGAGTACAGAATTTGCAACAAAACTTTGCTTCCCAGTCAAATTATTGAAGACTTCTGTGCAGTATAATAGGCATGCAAGGTATTTAGCTTTTGTTCACTCTTTTCAAGAAGTGCCTGAAAGATGTGATTCAGAAAAAAAATGGTGAGTAAATAAGAAAAAGGAAGACATAAAATCTGGGAAACAGAAAATCCAAAGTATGAGTGAAATGAAGATGTTCTCAGCTTCCTTTTAAAATTTAGGCAAAAACTGTGCCACAGGCAGAAAGAATAACCAGAGAACCCAGAGGAACAGAAGAACCCCAACAGGGAAAATGAACTCTGCCAGATCACCTGATGAGTCTGAATATACTAAAAGTTTGTAGATACATGGAGGAAAAAAAAATGTCTTCTAATCAACAAGCATAGCACAAATATGATATTGAAAACAATGGCATGAAGGAAAGTATTTGGGGGTTGGGAGAGGAAGTGACATAAGAAAACTGAATGCCTAGCTTCCCTAGAAAGAAGTAAATGGATAATACCTAAAACTGAAAAAGAAAGAAATAGCAGGAGTATATGATTACAAACATGCAGATAGACATCAGAAGAAACCAATTAAAAATGGGAAGATTTCTAAGTTGCTGAACAAAATCAGGGATGGAGCAAGCATGGTGCTTATGTCACTTTTATTGATCCAGAATTATTTGTTTAGCTAAAATATATTCATAATTAATCCTGAAGAAATTATTAGTAGACTTACCCAATCTTTAGTATACCTTGCTCTGCCTGACGCAATTCCAAGTCTTTGGAAGAACACTTCAAAATCATTTCCAGATCCTAATTTGCTAATCCTTTTAGAGATAAAATACAAGATTATTTGAGTAACTTCTTCACTGAATACAGATCGAAATGAATTAAACTAAATCTCCACTCAATACTATAAATACAATTTTTAGATATATTGCCTTTAGAGAAGCACCAAAAAAAAAAAAGGAGGGGATGTCATTTTTTAATCACAAAATATCTACTTCCATAAGACTATTTTGGGGAGGGGTGATCATTGTTCTTTTGAGTTTCTGGACCCAATTCCAACCTGTTTATGTGGGGAGGGGAGGGTTTCCCACACCGACAGCACATAATTCTCCAGGACACCAGCTGGGTGTTCTACAATTCAACTCAGTTCTGACACTGCCCACCTGGAGGTAGTGTCAGGTCCCAGACATGAAGGGCTCACCACCAGAGACTGTCCCACCCCTCCCACTCAGAATCCCGTGCTCCTGACCAACCACTACAGAGAGCAGGGTCCCACAAGCCCCTCCTTGGATTGGCCAGAGTGGCTCACAGAACCCAGAGGAGCATTTACTTACTAGATCACTGATTCATAGTTTAAAATTATAACTCAGGAACAGCCAGATGCCAGATATGCATAGAATAAGGTACAGGAAAGGGGTCAGAACTCCCAACCCTGTCCAGGCTCACCACTCTTCCAGCACCTCCACATGTTCACCAGCCAGGAAGCTCCCCCAAACTCTAGAGTTTTGAGGCTTTATGAAAACCTCAGGACATGGTCATAATCAGTTAAGTTATTGGACATTGGTGACTGAGTCAACCTCAGGCTGCCTCCCTTCCAGAGAGGTTGAGGGCCAGATTGAGAGTTACAACCCTCAAATCACTTGATTGGTTCTCCCCGCAACCAGTCCCCACTTTAGGTATGGGTCCATGTTACCTCATTAACAAAACAAAAGATACCTTTGTCCCTCTCACCTCTTAGAAAATTCCAGGGATTTTAGGAGCTCTTTAAGAGAATCAAGAAAACCAAATACGCACTTACTATGAATCACAATTGTATTTCACTATTAAAAAAAAAAAAAAGATTCTTGAAGTTGGAAAGTATTTTCCTCCACTGACTTATTTTATTACCTATATTTGTTGTACATGATACAGTTAAAACAATCAGAAAATTTTCAGATAACTCAGATTTAAATCCTATCCTTAAAAATTTAAATTATTCATACTGTTATCTTAATCTCAAACTACCGAGATATTTATTCCTCATCCCTTGCTTGTGAAGATATGGCTAAACCTGATATGATGCCTATATTCTTCTCAGAGTAACCAAAATATTGCATGATGTTCAGAAAAAAGTAAATTTATTAAGCAGCAAGAGGATAGACTTAGGCACCATGTGCATAATCTATTCCAAAGAGAATCACATTTTGATGGCCTACAGATTTAATTTCAAAACACATACCAATATTTTGTAAGCAGACAGGGTCAGGGGTCCCTAGAAAAAGAAAACTAGGTTTGGCTTTCTTGGCATAAGACAACTCACTTTTGACCTAAGCCATTTTGTGATAAAGCCCTGGTCACAATGCTTATCCCTGAACAGGTCTCAGTAATAAATGATTTTAAGGCAACAAGAAAATTTAGGAACAAATGCCTTAGGCAAGAGAAGTAACAACAGCAAAGATAACAAGCCCATTGTAAGGACTTTCAGTTCAGTTACAATGGTAAATATTAGCCTAAAGAACATTTTTGAGCTGTTCTGCAGAACGTAAACCACTATATGTGTTCTACCACCAGATCAGCTGGGAATGATGATGTTAACCTTTTCTGAACTCAGTCAACTAAAGTTTGGACTTTTTCAAATTTTGTCCCAATTTTATTATGAATTATACTCTGCTCAAGCCCCTTTCTGAATATGCATGTACTCTTAGCTTAAAACATCTATGATTTTACTGTTCAGGGAGACATTGCTTTGGGAAAGATCCCCAGTGCTTTCCAGGCTACCATGATGGTTCAGCAAGTAAAGAATCTGCCTGCAATGCAGGAGACACAGGAGATGCAGATTTGATCCCTGGGTTGGGAATATCCCCTGGAGAAGGAAACAGCAACCCACTCTAATATTCTTGTCTGGGAAATCCCATGGACAGAGAAGCCTGGTGGGCTACACCCACAGTGGGTCACAAAGAGTCAGACAGGACTGACTAAGCACACCCAATGTTTTCCACACTTGCTGCAAATAATTCATCCTTCCATCTCCAGTTAGACTTGGTTGTGTCTTTTGGCTCTACACCCCCTGAGAGGCAAACTCAGTTTTCAGGTAATAATTTTATTTGTGAAGCTAAGCATTGCTTAATCTTTATCAGATGTTATAGAATTTTAAACTTTTATTATTTATTAAAAGAAGCTATCCTTTATTTTTGACACAATTCCTTACTAAATTCGGTACAGAGTTCGGTTTGTTTACCTTGGCAAGTCACTGAATTCAGGGGAAGGACTTTTTTCATTCCAGCTCTCAAAAAGAGACTTGCCTTCAAAACCTTCATCAGGACTTCGGAGCTACATGAGTTAAACGGGGGAAAAAAGAGAGTATACTTATGAATCAGATGTTTCAAAATCTAAATATCTTTTAACCAGGGAATGAGTAGTTAAATCATATTAAGGAAAATATGAAAAGCAATTCATACATTAGCGGTCATTAAGAATTACAGCACTGAGTTTCTGACGATATGGGAAAATGTTACTATATATAATACACCTATTATAAAAAAAACACATGGAGTGTATGGAAAGAAAGGGTATGCCAAACTATTACCAAGCCATTAAATTCAGATGAATGGTCATTTTATAAGATTTTTTCAATCTATTCTTCTCCATTCCTTCTCCTCTTAAAAAAAAATGAAAAGGAACAAGCTGGTTAAGGAAAGACTTTTGTTTTAATATAGCTTTGTGCCAACAAGGTTGTCAAAGTCATTAAATAATACATAAGAAAATAAATGCAATAATATTTCACTTAGTTGAGTGTATACTGTATTTATGTTAAACACAGGGCTTTTAATGAATTTTTAGATTTTACAGACAAGAAAACTAAGGGAGTAAAATATGCCCTACTACTGAATGTGAGTTTCAGAGCATTAAATGTTATGCCAAAACATTTAGCACACTAAATTGTAATTAATATTCTACTACTATTGGTAATTGACTAATATATGGTATAAAAAGTTTTTATTTTGTATTTAATAAAAATCCTATGGTCTATTTTTCTTAACAGATTAAACTCAAAAAAATTTATAGACTACTTATGCTGTGGATGACTTTTCATAGATGCCAGCAATACAAAGTGTAATAACACATGTTACATATCATCTACTAGTGGGAACTGTAAATAAAACTGTGGATTTCATGTGCTAGGCGCTATAATACAGGGATGTGCAATGGTCAATGCGAACACAATTATATTTACACAAGCATGATGTAAAAAAATAACTTCACTCAAGCTTATAAATTTACCCAAAACTTTTTGCTACAAATGGCAGAAACATTCAATTTATTTTAGGAAATACGAATTTTGAATAATGTAGAAATATATTACTAGATTGCTTAGTTTATCACTAAAATTTGAAATGCTGCAAATCATCTTCTCAAAATAAACAAAACATAATTTTTAAA